ACATATATTTAAATAAACAATTCTTATTCTAAAAGGTTTCTAGGCATTTAGTCATTTCCTGATAAATGAAAATTTATGCAAGCATTGCATGCAAATTTATGCACATGATTATAAGTAAACATCATATGCATAATTTATGCACATGATTATATAATATACATTTTTTTTCTTCTTCACAAAACATTATCTTGTGAATTTATTTAAATATGAGTCATTTAAAATGCCTAATCTAAATAATCTTTCGTTATGTTATTATAATTTTTACATTTGGCTTTATTAAAACTTTCATTTTTGTGCATCGATTTCCTATCGCTGAAAATATTAAAAATTGTAAAAAAAAAACTTTACCTAATCTAGAGATATTAATAAAAAAATGTTGGGGCTATTTTCAGAGAAATTTAAAAAAAATATATGATGTTGGCGGCACTGGAACGAAGCAGGAGGCAGCGCTGTTTCATCATTTCACGTAAGATTTCAATCAACGCTAACTTCATGCAGCACGCAGTCGTGTTTAAACAACTATATAAGATTTTTAGGTTAGATCACGATATAATACGAACTTTTCAAGTTTCGTACGATAATTATCTTGTCACGGGAAATGCATCGTCATTAATTAATTCACATAAATGATATGTGCCCGCATACACATCTACATGAAGAGCAAAGGCCGAGGTTGACCAAGAACGTGTTCCGTGCTGCAAGATTCTTACAGGATTCTTCGTTGTATATAACCTTCACATCGTTGATTTTTATACTATGAAGAGACGTCAGAGAAGGCCAGTCTTGACGCTCAATAAACCGCAAAGCAATTATCACGGCGAGCACACGCAAAGTAAATAGCAATATTTTTATTTGGCAAATTGACAATTTTGATTTCCTTTAATTATTTTATTTCACAAAAATCAAGATTATTTTATTTCACAAAAATCAAGATTAATGCATTATTAATTTAAATAAGTGTGTTATTGCTTGCTTTACCTTATTTGTATTATAAATTGCTGCAGGTAAGTGTAAGCCAATAAATAATGCACAACGCATACCGAATGAGACCAACAATCCGTTGGCAAATATGTTGTGCCAATATAACTCCGACAGTGATACGGAGGATCCCAAGAGGGATACGCAGAAATTGGATGATAAAGTGAATGACTTTCTTAAGGTAAGTAAATTTTTTGAATATTTTCTATATAAAAAATTATATTTTTACATAATATGTATTTTAGGAAATTCAACTCATTGCTCCTGAACAACCTGTACCAAATGTTACTAATGAAACAAGTTCAGTGAATAAGGCAGTTTCACGGTCTGTTTCACATCATACAAACCAGCAAACATGTAAAGATTTTAGGAAATAGATAAAAATAGCAGAATGTATATTATAAATATTTTATGAAATGTTTAAAAATATCTATGTTTTAGTATGGCAAGAGTGCTATGATGAATCTACTGGTTATCCTTACTATTGGCATATTGAAACTAATGAGGTAACATGGGACATGCCGGAAGAGTTATGCTTATTAAAAAAACAATCCGAAATGGGATCTGGAACAAAACATTCCATCCAGGGACCTCATTGGGTGGACTTTTCATCTATTGCATGTAAATGTCAAATTTTTTGCTTTTATTCATATTAAGGAAAGATATTGATGAATGTTTGTTGCAGATCGGCAATCGCAAATAAATATACCAGAAGGCATGATACCACAAGAAGTAGTAGCAAGGAATCGTAACAGGTTTCTGCATAATGAAATTCCTAAGAAAAGTAACTCGGAAAATAAAGCAGAAATTAAAAATGAATCTCCCACGAAGGATGACGATTCAGATGACGGGTATGTCAATTACATACCATATATAATGTGTGTTTTTTCTAAAAATTTTTTTATACCTCCTTAAAAAAAATATTTCTATTTTGTAGACGAATAGAAATGATAACATCTTTTGGTAGCGATGGAAGCGATTCGGAGGATGAAAACTCTTCAGATGAGAATAAAACATCAATACCTTTATCTGAATCTGAAAAGTCTGCATCATATCCAAAAACCGAAATCGGACCTTCCTTCTGCCCAACAGAGATACAATCACCTACCAAAAACTTATTTCGATCATACAAATCTGATTCGACTGACATATCAAACTCTGCAAATCATCTTGAACAACTTAACGAACGTGAAACAACCGAATCTGATAGTAAAGGCAATATAATTCAAGGTGAAAAAGAATTTCTCGTGGGGAATAAGAATAAAAAAGATATTAATGCACATAATATAGTTCCAAAATTAGATATTAATGTGTCCTTAGTACCTGGTTATGATGGTGATGATTCAGAAGGAGAGGAGGAAGTTAAATCTAAACAGGAGATAAAGCCTTTATTTCCAATTGCACAGAATGAAGAATACGTAAATAATTCATTAAAAAATACTTGTAATATTCTCGCTTCTGACAATGTACAAACTTCTGATCAAAGCAATGACAGTAATGAAGATGCACAAGAAACGAAGAATGATGAAAAAACGGAACGAGAGAAAGAATCGAAGATAGAAGAAGATAAATCTAAAACAAATATTTTTCTAGAAGACATGCAAATATGTGGCAAAGCTTTCCAAAGAAAGAAGCGGATAGCATTTGATGGTATTTATATTCATTACACTTTTATCTGATTTTATTTTTATAGAATTATGTATAACTGTAGATTATATATAATAATTGCATATTTTTTGAAATTATTAAATCTTTTATTTATCCTGAAAATTATATTTTTATAAATTCATAGATCGTAAGACTCGGAAGATATTAAATCTGAATATAAAAAAACCAGAAAATAATAACAATTTATGAACGTTTCGATCTTTAATATTATCTCGAAATGTAAATTGTTATTGTTTGTAATAGCTTATTTTAAATATATTAACAGCCACCGATATCTAGCTTGATTTGTCCGGTCTTTTATGTTCAGATTTTATATTTTTATATTGACGAAAAATATTTTATTGTTATAGTTCCATCCAATAAAGTTAAACAAAGTAATACTTCTCAAGAAAATATGATTCGAGATGAAAACAGTGATCTTGTAAGCAGTGAAACTACTTTACGCAATCCCGAGGAGGATGATATAGATCAGTTGGGAGGAGAGACTCAAAAAGAATCCGATGAAGCACATAAAGAAGTAGAACAGTCCGACAATATTAAGACTGAAGAAAAATTAGATTCTAAAGACGAATCATGCGACTCAGAAATATCTATAGAACACAAAATATCAAATACGATCGAGGAAAAGAAGAAAGAGGAAATAAACGATTTGTCTCAGGTTATAACGGAGAAATTAAAATTTCTTTCCGAGGGAAGAGAGAATGTCTCTGCTGTTCATACAATGCAAATTCAACTACAAGTAAATATTTTTATACGTACTATTTTATTATATATTATTATATTTTTGAAACAAATTTAAAATAACTAATTTAAATGTTATTAATATTTGTTAAATTGTTCTCATTTATTATAGACATTATCTACTGCATGGACGGCAGGTTGCTTAGAGGACAATTATTTTCAAAAGTGGCTAACAAGTACAAATCATGAATTGGAAAGATTAGAGCAAGATGTGGCACCAGCTGGTTGGCTATGCCAATGGGATAGGTACAGTATTCCATATGCAATTTGCACTTTTTTATATGAATATAGGTACCTCATATAATATCTATGTTCAATGGCTTTATATGTATCATTAACATATATATGTACAATGAATATATATTTTATATATATATATATATATATATTATTATATATATATATATATATATATATATATATATATATATATATACAGTCATGTACATATACAATTGCCATGTATTGCTACATGATTTCATTCATCATTGAAAAAGATTTATTTACTTTTAGCGAGAATTTGTATAGGTGCAAATTTAAGTTAATTGATCTAGTATTAATTTCAAAGAAACATTGAACAGTTTAATATTTATGACAATTTTTGTAAGACACATACTAAACAAGTTTCTAACATTTCATAATTTAATATACATTCAAATATTTTATATATTTTATATATTTTTCAATTGCTATCTATATATTGTTATAAATTAACTCAAACTGAAATAGGTCATAAATATTAATTTAGTAATATTCACGATAAATAACCAATGTTGTATTACATACAATGGTTATATACCATGATTTTAATATATGTAGGTACATTTTCTTTTAGTTTAGAATAATGATGCAGCTGATATATTTTTATTATTTCGTACGCAACTACTTTTTTTTAGCTTAAGTGAAGGTGATATCTCTAAAAATCACGGTCTCTCAGAGGTGTAATATATTCTCTTAGTGCTAAAGCTAAATTGAGTGATCGTCTTTTACATAGCCTAGGAAGCCTTTGGTCGTGTGATATCGTCAATGTGATAATTAATATACGTGCTGAGTGACATTATACTTTAATATACATGTTACGATAATCGAGTAACAATGTTACTTGGAGTTAGGATATGTTTGTGGCATGAATAATTATGAGAAAAGTGCGAAATCAAAGTAAAATTTATTGAAATGAAGACAAGAAGACAACATGCAAAAATTGAAAGAACTTATATATTCTTTAATTGCAACAGGATTAATAATTTGCGCTTAACATAATAATGTATAAATGATATATAGCATAAAAGCTGTAATGTATCGCTTTGGTGAATTATGAAAGTAATTGATAGAGTATTTTATATTACTATTTTTTTAACAATGATACGATCGAATTATTTAAAATAAAGAAATATAATTTTTTTCCATTTATACGAAATACGATTTATACAAATAATAAGTGTGATTTAAATGCCAAAGGAAATTATTAATTAAAGATATTAACTAAAGATATTTCATATTTATACGCGAAGATTAATTTTGTGCTATTTATCAAAACAAATGAATATTGTAAAGTTTTATAAAATATATACATTTGTCTACTAGATATATTTAGTTTTTTAATAAAATATGGGAGGCAAAAAGGATTATTCTTTATACACACGCTTCAACGTGTATAAGAAACTTATCTGGTATTATAATTTAATTTGTTAATCTATTCGGTAACAAACTACGATTTCGGTAACAAACTACCAACAACGTAAGTATTATCCTATCTATTATATTTTTCAATATCTGGTAATTCTTGGAACATACTGAATTCGAAAATAAACCAGATATTATATTAGGATTAATTTTCATCATTATTTTCCCTGCACTTCAGTCACGATACCTCACTTCTCCTTCACTTTGCTGTTATCTTGCATTAATGTCTCCTACGAGAGAACACACTCTGATAATTACATAATTACATCTCCCATCTCTCCTGTAATCAAAGGCCTTCGTCAAGTAAAAACGAGACACGACATTGCAGGTAGGAGTGATTACTAGATTATGTTTTATTAATTTTTGCTTTCGTTTAAGAAATCGATGACGCGAGTACGCCGCGACAAATGTTTCACCACGGAAACATTATTTAAGCGTGTATTGAATGTAACATAGAGAATTACAATAGAAAACGACACTGCCATCATCGATGTCTCATGTGTCCCATTTTGGTCGGGGGATTTTTCTAGGTCGCATAAGCGGTATTACTACCAAAATACATCCACTGGGACATTACAGTGGACTTATCCTGATACCGGTATTGCCGGTGGCACTGAGGAAATGGAATTGTGCACTACTCCGCCACCAGAATCGGAAGAATTATCAGTCACAGGTATGTTACATGCATAGACTATGCGTTATTATTAAAAAAGAGAAGTAAACTAATAAGTTGTTTATCATTTCTGTCATTAGGATCACCTGGGACGAAAAAGACAAAGGAAAAGCAAATTGAGGAGCTGGACGAGAATAAAACGGATGATGAAAACATAGCAGATAGACATCCTACGACTCTAGAAGCACCACCTCCGCCACAGATATCTAATCCAAGTCCACCACCACCTCCGAGAATATTCGCAGAAGATTTGAAGAAAGACAAGAAGAAAAGGGAGAAGCCCGATGAGAAATACTTGGACGCAAAGAGAAAACGTTTAAGCAAAGGTGATGAATGATTAATATTGTAATATAAATAGGATTTATAATTACTGTGTTTACATATTATTAACATATTATTAACAAATCTATTAATGTTTTCATGAAACAGTCATTTTTTATAGGAGAATAATTATATATAATTATTAATGCTGTAAATATAGTTACAGATAAAATAAAGGAAAATTGTTGATATTTTGTTGACAGATAGGATAACTTTGGAAACGACGCAAGTGGTGAATCCTACCTTAGAATCTTTGGCATATGCACATCCACAAGTAGCTGTGTCACCTCAAACTTCGATACCTCCAAATCACGCAAGTATGGAACCTCTACCTCCTGGTGTGGATTTACCAGATACGTCTTACGAAGCTGCCACTTTAAAAGGGATAATATATAACGCGACGTCACAGCCAAGCAACGCGATTTACGCGCCTTCGATCGCTGATCCAACGATACCTATTCTGAGCCATCAAGCAGGTCTGCTTCAGGAGCCATTCGTCCATTATCCAAGCTTTCATCAACATTTGCATAACGTAAGTATATCTTTATGATTAAATATTAATAGATATTATATTTGTAATTGTACATAATTTATTTATTTGTTAGCAGACAATCGCAGTTGCAAACAAGCACGGTGGACAGAATGCAATTCAGTTCATGGTAGGATACGCGCCGATTTATACGAATAATAAAATCATCGCCAAGCCGCCAGTCAAAGCCTCGAAAGAATCTTTAGGGTCTGCCCTTGATTCCTTTTACAATGATATTGCGCGAATTGAGAGAACGGAAACGGAACGGACGGGACAACATCAGGATACTGTTATCGCGGTAACAGAACAAGTACCTACTCCGATCGAAGAAGTAAAGCCTGAAGCGGAACCGGAAGTTATATCTAACGACACAACAACGAGAGAACGAAAGAAAAAAAAGGTGACGTTTCATCACTATTTTTCACATTATTTCTTTAATTTTTTTGATATTTGACATTTTTTGCTTAAAAGCATAAAATATTTATGTGTAAGAGGTAAATTTTACATGTTCAATCATTTATATTATTAGATTAAATGTAGTAATTTGTATATGTGTACAAAAACGAGAGTTATATGTTTCAGTTCTTTGCAAAGAGAACAATTTTACATTTTATTTTTTTTTAAATATTACAATTTTTTAGAAATATATGTTTAAATATGTATATTTTAATAAAAAAATGTTAAATAACACTAAATGTATATCGAATAATTAAATAATCAATACTTGACATAACTTTAGGCAAGGATTAGCAACAGTAAAAAGCACAAGGAGATGTCGAGCATGGTAGCGAAATGGCAAAGGGTACAAAAGAATCTAGAGGACAGTGTATAAATAACAGAAGTCGGTTGAAATAATTAATTGCTGTATGAAAAAACGTTATATAGACTGTGTTACTAGTAAGGTTCAGGTTTTATTGTACATATATGCGTTGTTAAATATTTCATCTATTGTAAACTATTTTATGATTTTTATTCATATTCTGATGCGTATACATTTGTGTGCTTCAAGAGTCTTGCAACATTCGTATTATCGAATATAGCTAACTCTTGTGTGATTATCATGTATTTAGCAATTTATTATGAAGCTTTATGATAATTCTTATGCACAGTAGAAGTGATTTATCATCATTACTCTTTTGCACTTTCATGTAGAATAAAAAAGTTATAAGAATATCTTTATAATTCGTGTTTCTTTCAAAATATTCCGAGTAAAAAATTTATATTTTAATTGTACTTTATTATTAATTTTGTGAAAGATTGCATAATTATAATTTGAATTAATAATAATAATATACATTTTTGTAAATTGTCTTAACAATACATATCTATTTTATAATTTCCTATTGTCAATTATATCCTAATTAATGTGTAGCATAGGCATATTCGGGGAGGAGGGGGGATTCAAAATTAAAAAGAAGTTAAAGTTATAATTTACAAAATCTAATATTTTTCTCATTTACAATCAGGTATGAGGAGATATTCTAAGCTCTAAAAAGCTCAATTCATTAATGCAAAAAGTTGTTGTTTATGTATTAAGAAATCAATAAAATCCTGCACTTCACAAACAAATCCTGGATACGCCCATAATAATACGTAGACGTATCTATAGTATAACAATATGTATTTTTTTTTATTTAAAATTACATCGGAGGCTGTATTTATATTACCATCCGTTATCTATAGATGATGATCTATAGAATGAAGATTCTCGTTTTCCGAATTACGGTAATCCGAAAATGACCTTTTAGTTACGCGCAACGCCGACGAACGTCGTTGGCATCGCAAAGGTAGCCGAGTATCGACGCGCATCCGACAGACGAACCTGTGTAAATCGTGGTACCTGATCGCTGGTACTGCTCCGCGTTGGACGTACATCGACAAGTGCACCGTGTAATTTTAAACCAAACGTCCGATGCGCTCTCGTTCCAACTCGGCGCGTTCGTCTACGCCGCGTTCTTCTTCATCATAACCTGGGGATTTCTGGATTCTCGCGTTCTCCATCTCGTCGTTAAAATCAACGGCGAATTGTTTTACATCGCCGATCACCGTGAGGCGCGTGTATATGCTGTGTCGTGATGCGGTACGCGGCAATCCGCTGACCGAACGGTTCGTTTCTGTCGCGCGGCCATGGACGCCGGTGATCCCGACGAATTTCAAGTTTGAGAGAAAGAGAACCGGTCTCGTCTCGTCTCGCTTCGCCTCGCCTCGCCTAAAACGATAATCATTATGCTCGCGCCCATCCGCGTGCGCCTGTTGCTGTCCCGCTACGCCACCAGCGATCCCGAGGCAAGAGGTAATGATGGCACTTGAGCGCGCGAGCATCCTCCATCCTCTCTCTCTCTCTCTCTCTTTCCCGCGCTGTTTTCCTCGTCGCTTCGCTCCTCTCTCCCTCTCTTTTCCTCGCTGCGAAGCATCGATGGGCAAGCTCTGCGTTTCATTTTCGAGCGCGAAAACTGCGGGAGAGAGTGTGCGGTGTGCAAAAGCAGGACCTCCGCGCCGGTCGCACAGGACCTCGGAAGGCGCGAAGGGCGTAGTACCCCATGACGAGGCCCCCGTGTACACCTGCCACCCTTATCTCTCGCCTGGCGGCACTCGATATTTTCGGAGCCGAAACGTCTTATGCCCCTTGTGAAAATTGATCGAGAACGAGGCCGAGCGATACAAATTCTTTTGACTCGCGCTCTTCTCAATTCTTCGTTGAAAGTTGAAGGTAAACGAGTAATTTGCCGCTTGATCTGCCCAACTCCATCAATCCATCAACTTTGCGTTAACCAGACGCCAATTACGATTACATCCTAGATATATGTTTTTTGCATTTTAATTTAAACAGCAATTTTTTTCTTTTTTACGTTTAAAAGCGAGTATTATTTTGAAAAGGGAAATTTATTTGAAAAAGGAAGAAAATTAAATGCTACTATTAGAAATCAAATTGTGAAAATTTATCTGATTTTTTTTTTTAGAACATTCTTAAACTACTTGTTTGTTTAGTCTATGTGTAAATTTATTTGCTGATAATTTTTTAAATCGCTTTAGAGATTACAAATTGGATTTCGCTCAGATTTCACTTGGCTGCATCATTTACATACAACATTTATTTAACAGCAACAAAATGTCAGACTAATGAATATGTCGGAATATGTTAAGATTTTATAATCAAAGACTTGAAAATATTGGATGAAAGAATATTGGATACGAGTATAGTTTGTAAAGTTTATCTTAAATATTTAATATAAAATTAATTATACAAATTACAGGTCTATTTTATTTAAACTTTAAAATTCTTCCAGATATACAAACATAAATTAAATCTTGCTATTTTAAATGATATTATCAATCTGATCACTTTAAGACGACGTTCTCCGTTTTACGGGGACGATTTTGCGCCTTGGACTTCTGTTATAAATAAATTTAGATAAGTCGCCACTTCTCTAGTCACGACTAGGAAACAGGACGGACGCAAAGTGCAAAGTGGAAAACCACGTTCGGAGCTGTTTTAAAGTGAATCTCGGCCTATTAATCGTTTGAGAATAGTCGTACATTCACTGCTGGTCTGACGATGCCGATGCGTTGATATAAGATAATAATAGTCGTCTGTGTTTACGCTGCACATGTATGTGAGAAAAACGACGAGCCTATATGGAAAGAACACTTTTGCTTTTGCTTTTGGAAATCCTAAAAATTTGGCTAGATACAGATCTGAACACGATTTTGTTGAGCCTTCAAAATTATTATATATGATGTTTAAATTGATTGTTAGAAGATCGAACATTTTGCAGGCACGCCGATATTCATCACCAAATTAAAGCTGAAAATTTAAGCGTTTGGAAGAGTGAGATTTTTCCGAAAGTCCCTCGATTATTGTAGAAGAGGCATCAATCGTGAATTCTATTTCGATCTACGCGTCTGAGTCACTCTATCTCATCCAGGATAGAGGGAAAATTTAGGAAAATTATTTCTGCGCTTTGTGAAAAATTAAGCTCTGTTTCTTGCGCCTTAAGTGAAGATACGCGAGTACACCAAACGGAATCGTGTTTACATGCATTTCTAGACACGTGTGTATGCATTCGTTCGTTCGTTCACTCATTCGTTCGATTTATTCGTTTATTCGTTCGTTCTGCTCGTAGCATGCCGAGTGTCAATTAGCGATGCCGACGCGAGCGTTCTCGCTCGCATGCTGGAACGAACACCGACACGTTAATTTTAGCGTAATGGATCGATCTAAGAGCAGGATGCGTTTTTAAATAGTCCCCCTGATAGATCTATCGCGCGCTCGTTATTTCGGAACTACCACGGTCGACGGTGAAAATATATATTTCGATGTCGAAGTCGTAACATCCATTTGATAAATACAATATTTTACATTGAAAAATAACCTGAAATTTGAAATACGACTGATAGTTTCGATGCGATAATATGAACATGGATTAACAGCGTGATTTATCGTCGTAAAGAAGAAAAATGTTTCAGCTTTATGTCGAGTAGATTAATGAGTCAGCATTGCGATACGAATAACACATCCGTGAACAATGTTCCTTTATTGACAACAAAACTTAAGAAAACTTAAAGAAAAAATTAGCGGTATTGCAGTGTGTTTGTGATGATTTACAATTATTTATTTGAAGAACCTGTAATGCTGTAAAATATTATGGAAGTTAATTACAAACGAGTTGATTCGTCATTTTTCTAATGTTGTATTTTATTTTTAATTTCGTTCGTGATGCGCGTGATGCCATATGTCATATTTTTTTTTTCCATTCGTAGCCAATTGTCTCTGTGTGTAAGACACGCGATAATTGTCTACAATTAACAATGTGATTGACCGTAGGATGCAACGAAGTCAGCTGAGGGACATCTCATCCTGGATGACGCGCTTATTCCCAGAGCCTGGAGACGGTAGTAGTCGAATAATCGACGGGTTCAAAATGTTCGGCTCGAAAAACAACTCGCCCACCAGCACATTTTACACTGATTTGGAAATCACGGAAGATAAGCAGGAATTTCAACAGAAGAATGAACATTCCAAAGCGACACATTTGCCGGAGCAACAGAGTACGACCAGCGAAAATGGAAACTCGCAAGATTCAGACACGGCAACAAGTGTCGAGGAGCAACGATACGTCAGACATTCCTTCCATAGGATCGCCAGTTTCGGCGGCTTCCCGCGATTTCAATCGTTCGTTATGTCCGCTTCCACGCCCGCTGAATGCATCGATATCACGAGGCATGAGGAAACTTCAACAGAAACGTCCTATATGTCACATAGTGTCCTAGAATATAGAAGTAGCAGGTGTGTGTAAACTCTGATGATAAAAGCGATGTTAATTTATCTCTGCTTTAAAAAAAATTTTAAAGCTTATATCTTTAAAAACAAACGCAGGTATGTAGCTTCGGAGAGGAGGTCTCATCAGTATACATTAGGTACCTACGCGGTAAGCGAATCCGAGAGCGAGGAAGAATCAGAGGAAGCAAGGTCTTCGGAAACGGACTCTGCCATCGTGGCCGATCATACGGAGGAATCGATATCAGAGCCTAAACTGCTCGCGAAGAAAAGTTCCCCTGATTCGAAGCGGAAAAAGGCGTTGCGTGTGGCGCAAGAGTTACTAGCGACTGAAAAAAATTATGTCAACATTTTACATCTGATCGATCAAGTATTCCAATTCAGAGTCGATCAAGAAAACAGAGCACATCCTATGTTCCCTCCAGAGACTGTCCAGCACATGTTCTCAAATATTAAATCTATTTATAAATTTCACAACGATTTTCTCTTACCACAATTTGAGGAAAGAATGCAATGTTGGGATTCAAATCCAAGAATCGGTGATATAATGAAGAATTTTGCACCCTTTCTCAAAATGTATACAGAATACGTAAAAAATTTTGATTACGCCATGAATTTGATAAACGGACTGCAAAATAAAGTTCCCAGGTTTGCAGCAATTGTCAATGAAATTCAAAAGCTCGACGAATGCGCTAAATTATCGTTAGCACATCACATGTTGAGTCCGATACAAAGGCTGCCGCGATACGAACTGCTTCTTAAAGATTATTTACGAAATCTAACTGAGGATAATCCGGATTATGAAGACACAAAAAGTAAATTTATATATATTTCCTACATTTTCCGAAATAATAATGTATCTTATTTTTGTGATTTATTATAATGTGTGAGGATTTTTACTAGAAAATACAATGTTAAATTTCAGAAGCTCTGGAATTAGTATCTACCGCTGCGAATCATACGAACGAGGCAATGAAAAAAATCGATAAATTTAAAAAACTTTTGGAAATTCAAGAAAGTATATATGATGCAACTGATCTAGTCAGTGCGACTCGTGAATTAATAAAAGAGGGACGTATAGTGAAAATTTCAGCACGTAGCGGTGATCATCAAGAGAGGCATTTGTTTTTGGTAATTATTACATAATTGTTACATTATATTATAATATCTATTTTATATGGAGATTTTTCATAGAGCTATTTATTTCTTTCCAGTTTAGTGATTTATTATTATTGTGCTCAATAAGACTGATACCCGGTCCTATGTATCGATTAAGAGCTAAATTTATGGTGGAAAATTTACAAGTAGTTGAAGGAGACAATCTAGAAACCGCAAATACTTTTTATATACGAGACGAAAATAAAAGCGTCGAGTTATATACACACGCTGCCACGGAGAAAGCAGCATGGTTGGATGCACTGTTCCAAACGATGCAAGAGATCATCAGACGCAAGGCCAGTCTCAAAACTGGTAACGTTAAGACTTCTTTGGTTAAAGCTGATGATATAACCAAGTGCATGGTTTGCCAAGTTATTTTTTCTGTGATGAAACGAAAGCACAATTGCCGGGCCTGTGGAATAGTGAGTATTATATACTAAAGTTAATCTATCGTTATTTTTTATAATAATTATTATTGAACATACGTATTATTTTTTTCCAGGTAGTTTGTAGTAAATGCTCAAGTCAGAAATTATTATTTGAAGACAATAAGAATATGAGAGTGTGCAGATTATGTCATTCCGCGCTCACTCAACCGCTCACTAAATCACCGTCGTCACCGTCTGGACCAGTGCCAAGTTTGTTACAGGTATCAGCGAGTGCGTCATCAGTATTATCTGGATACCTATTACTGAAGACTCAGGCCAGTAAGCCTTGGACAAAACGATGGTTCGCATTGCACTTTGATTTTGTTCTATATTCATTTAAATCAGAGTCTGAGAGTATGGCAATGACAGCGACGCCTATGCCAGGCTTTATGGTTACGGAAGGTACAAAACTACCCGATGAAGATCCCTTGAACACAAAAGATCGAATAAGAGCATTTAAGATGCATCATTCGAGAAAATATTACTATCTCCAAGCATTTTCTCAGGAGGATAAAGAAAAGTGGGTAAATGATTTGAACAATATATATTTTATGTAAAAGAGTAAATACTGTTAATATTATGGAACTTCTAGATGGATGCACGCGTTGGAGTTGGCTACAAAGGCTGAACTACCTCATTTTACGCAGGTGGAAAACGAAAACGCACAAGAAAGTCAATCGATAAACGATGTACAATGAATATTCGTACCTTTTTATCTACCAAACTAGCCAATTTTTTACTATTGTATTCATAAACGAGAAAATGATATAGCAATGTAAAATAATCGTTAGTAGTTAATTAGCTATATTTAAAATGACGTTAACTTATGTTTTATATATATATTGTTATTAGAGTGTATACATTACAAAAGAGAAATCGAGTCAATAGCGGCCGCAGCCAAAACGCTTGTTGTTTTATATAATGTTCTGTTATAGTATATTTATAAATATATATATATGTGTGTCGTTTCTATCACGATACGCTGTGCTGACTGTAATTTGCAATGGAAATCGATACGTCACAATGCTTGAAAAGTTAATTACGCGCTTCAGTGATAGTATCTAAGCTACGAGATCGTTTTTACTGAAATCGATTTTACTAAATGCGCAATGAATTCTATAATTTAATCAATAAATTTATTCCGTCAATTAAAGATTTCATAGTTTTTTTTAAATATCTCTTAGTAGTTCCTACCTAGTTATGTGAATATTGCAATAATTACATATTTTATTATACTTACTAAAGGCATTTTCACACAAAAGTGCACTCAGACTTCTGCTAATCATTCTACACTTATCACATTTCTTGAATTGCACGTAAAGACCGTCAGCTGCGTACGTGAACGTGTGAATATCATCATTTAAAACATATCTTTTATTTGTTGTAACAAAGAATATAATTCGAGATGATCGTGATTAATTATCTACTTTTATGACCAGTAAGGCTAATTTGTCTTAAAAATTTAAGATAAATCGTCGTACAAATATGTTTAATACATATATTACGACATATCTCTTTTTTACGTGATAAATTTTTTATAACTAATCTACTCAAGGTTCTATACCAAAGAATTATGAGACTTTTTATTCTCTACCTCTGTTCTCAATAAAATAAAATCTTGCAAATTGGAAAAATATTTCAAATTCGCTATCTTATGGAACACCTTTTTGATTTTTATAAACCCAAAATCTAACAATTAGAAATGAGAATGCATGTAATAATTAAAATTCTCTCTTCAACATACACATTTGTTTATTATTGTACAAAATTACATAATACAAAATAATGAGAGATTAACTTTTTTTTTTTTATACGAATTAATTTTACATGTAATCGTACAAAGTGAATACGATGTTATAAATACGTTAAAATTGATCGTAAATAATCTTTTTCTTCTTAAGACAGTTTATAAATCTAATATACAAAGAAGTATATTAAATTTTTAGCAACCTGAACAATTTGTACATAACAACTTGTTATACCAATTGCTTGATTTCAATACGCATAACGATAAACATTAATTACGTTAATTTTGTGTATATAACTTAACGCGACCAGTCTTTATCAGAAAATAAAAACCCAAATTTACATAATATTTGGAAGATGTTTGAAATACTTGCTTTTACGCTTCTATATTGTTATTTTTAGTGTTTTTCATTTTCACTTATTATTATATATTATATATTATTAAAAAAACAATCGATTTTTTGTGTAAGAAAATAGAGTATGACATGAAAAATAATTTAAACTATCGAATCAATTTACAACTTTATACATATTCAGCACATGTGTGTTAAAAATGGTTACGTTATAAAACATCTTTTTTCTTAAGTAACTTTCTTATCATTATTAAACAACATATTTTAGCGTATACTTTACATTTTTCCTTACCTTGAATAAGCATAATATTTCAATTTCTATTAAGGCTGCAAAGTAATAAGTCGTATGTAATGCACACAAATATGAAAATATATGAGCGTAAAATAAACTGATAATATTGTACTGCGTTATGCGACATAAATTGCACATGTTAATGAGATAAGCTAAATACACAGAACTGAATATATATATTTGGGCCAGAGTATTAATGGAGATCATATCGCACAAGATCTTCTTGCGAAATTAGTAAGTATTTTATTTATAACTTTTATAACTTTTATTAACTCCTTATATTTATTTATAACTTTTTTTTAACTCCTTCACATTTAATGGGATATATACGTTTCTAGTATGTGTAAAAAAACTCGTATCTCTGACAAATATTATCATTAGATAAAAAAGAACTAATTTTAAAAAAGATTGCTTAACAAGACTGTTAAACAACATAATTGTAATGAAGATTAATGTAAAATATAAAAAATATACTATATGGTACATTATGTTATCTTTGCGACTGAATTATTTAAATATAATATGAATATGATTGATAATATAAATATTATTAAAATATAAGTAAAACTTTCATTTCTTTTGTATTTTAATGACGAAGAATATGATAATGTTATACTTGCAAATATAAAATATAGATTAGGCAAAAAAACTTTCGAATGTTATAAGACTATTTAAATGTTATAAGACTAACAAACTACAACGCGAAACATGGCATTTGAATTTTTATATCGTGATAAATACTTTTCATATTTGTAAAATATTTTTGAGCAGATAAAATGTTTAATAAGGCTAAGTAAACTGTCATATCTTTTCATATCTTTTCCATGATATTTATAAATAAAAAAATGAATGTACCAATAATTGCCATATTATCAGTTGTTATCGATTTCAATTTCTCAAATAAGATTATCGTAGTTGCTCTATAAATTCATGAGAATTTGTCATATAATCATAGTCGAACGTGTTTCTTTAAGTCATAAGTGTTTTGAATCTTAAAAATTTTTACTATTCATTTAAATAATTATGTAAATAATATTATTTGAACAGAGTTTTATATCCATTGCATAAAAGTTAAATAAATCATCTTTTTAATTATTTGATATCATTTACTATTCCATCCATTTACTATTCATTTACTATTCATATTCCATTCGTTATTAATCTAATAAGATATTATTAATTTTTCTTTTAATTAAACATTTATAGCAGATTTCTCTATCAAAATGAACAAGTGCTTGATATTCACTTTGATCGTCATGATCGGTATTACCGGCATAATGGCTGAGGGACCTGAATGTTCTTCTTGGCTTGGATATGTAAGTATAATAAAGTAAAGATAATTTTATATTAATGCTTGCTTTCTTTTATACGAAACCTAAGTACATATTATATACTTTTAACTTAATCTTTTGACTTCATCATTTTTAATCTCGTGATTATATATTTATAATGAAATAATAATGGATAATATTTAAAATGAATGACTTTGTTATATAATAAATTTTTGTGATTACAGTGTCAAGTCACCGATCAATGCTGTCGTGATTTAGTGTGTATGGGATATTTAGCGAAATGTGTGCCCGGAAAAATTGTTGATGATAACAGGCCTAAAGGAAAAGGACCTTTCCCTCCTGGAAATTAAAACGAGATTTGATTTGTGATTTTTTATGATACGAATGAAAATCATTTAACGATAAGAATGAAAATAAATACGCATAATAAATTTCAGAAATGTATAATATATTGTTTTCAAAATTTATAAAGTAAATGCTTCATATACGTGTACTATTAATGCATTATATTCACGAGCTCGATGGTATGACTTTTATTAAACAATTTGCCCATTAATTGTATATTTATTATATAATTGTATTTTATATTTGTATCTGTAATCGTTTGTAATTTTTAAATAATTTAATCAACAAAGTAAATTGAGCTAAATTATACGTATATAAAATTATACGTAAGAATTAGAAATTATTAAAGAATCAGTTACATCATTTATAAATGTCGCGACGTAATTATTTCCGATTCACCGAGTTTTCTACATAACTTCTCTTGACGCATAAGTGGAAATGTCGCGTCTAGAATCTGGCACACCTCTTATTATATATTATATCTTGACGAAGAAAGATACACGATCGGGTCGTCGCCCCGCAAAATCATTTCCGCAAGTAGCACGTTCGATCGTTATTCAGTCGCGCGTCATTGGACGCATTTTCGTAATGAGCGACCAAAATTATCGATGAGCGACGGCCGTTGGCTCATCGGTGATAATAGCGTGGCACTGGTACCTCGCACCCCCGTCGACGTTCCTCGACACGGGGCGAAACGAGTAAAAAGAAGCGAGCCCGTCAAAAGAAGAGAAGAGAACGGGACGAGACGTGAGGTGAGAACGAGGGCAACGTCGTTGGAGGGCGAGGAGTAAAGGACGAGCAGTGCTGCTAAGTCGAATGTCGAGTGATGCCAAAGTTAAATATAAATGCGGGCTGCGAGAGAGAGAGAGAGAGAGAGAGAGAGAGAGAGAGAGAGAGAGAGAGAGAGAGAGCGCGCG